CCTGTCAGGTGAGACTCACTTTTTCTCTTGGGTCCATGATGCGACAAAGGGTTCATGTCTTTATTATAGTCTTACCATCATGGAAGGTATTATGAAAAATCAGATTAGGTGACTTTGCTCTTTAATTATTATGGTTAATATGTAAAGTCAGGTAATATGCAAAGTCGGCATTCTTACCTTTAGCCCCAGTCCCAAAGTCTTTGAGGTAAAAAATATCCAATGTCTCCTTCCTAAATGTTGTCAGTAAATTCAGGTAGGGATAGAAAAGAATAAACAACTTACAGCAAAGCTATTTCTCAGTCCCCTAAACTCTCTATGTCCCATTAATGGGAAAATTAGCTCCCTATGCACAAGAGCTGAGGTTGGTTTGTTTTTATTATTAATGAGGCAATTAACTCACCCAGCACAAAAAGAAGAAGCCATATACAGACTAAGGCAAAAAGTAGGTTTATAGTTGTTCATATAAAAATAACACAGCAATTAATAAGTGATAATATAAGAATAAACTCTGGGTTTCCTGTACTCGCAACTATAAACCTACTTTTGCTCACTTTATATCCTATCAGGGCAGAGCTAATTTTTCAGGCAGACTACACAAAGTCTGAACATTCAGGTAAAATTTAAATCAGCCACCAAATGCTAGTCTCACACAAAGCTCAGATTGAAAACCTTGCGTGGGGAAAGAATACCAAATGGTTTGTTAACCATAAATCACAAGGGAGGCGTTTACTAAACCCACTGGGCATGCGCAGAGTTCAGCTGGCGCACTAGGCAGTTTGGAAAGAGGAGGTGGAGGTGGAAAGGCTCATAAACTGCCTGGAATGACTGTTACAAAGACGAATGGGGATGAGAGAAGGAAAAAGAAGACCAAAGCTTACACTATGTTGCATTGTCTTCCACACACTCTTCTGGGAAGCAAGAGGAAAACAAATTCAAAGGAAAAAGAAAGAGAGATTATTCTACACATAATAGCACAGCACAGGAAAAACGTTTAGCTTGGCAGGCTGGCATTCCACCCCCCACCCGCACCCCAAACTCCCTCTGATTGAACAGTAGAATATTTGAGAAATCTGCATATACAGTGCAATATTGATACTTACTGGAGATTCATTGGTTTAATTCATCACCAACTTGGTGAATTAATTTCAAGTCTGTTTATTTTTGTTTTTAGTCTACTTTTATACAATATATTCCTCTAAGATACAGAATTTAAAGTACATTTTTGCTCTAACGGATCAGCTGGAATAAGGAAGGCACCCCCTTCCCCTGTGGGTCCAGGGACCATCTACCATGCTGTGCTCACATGTCCTGAGCTGCACAGCTAAGTGCCCTTTACAAAGGATAATCCGAAATACTTCTGTATGCTTGGATCTTAAAAATTGAGATGTTTTGTGTTGATTTATTTTTATACTCTGTGCTTCCAGTGATCTTCAAAAAGTCATGGTTTTACATCAAGTTCTTCAAGCGAATTCACCAAGTATAAAGTTATGACAAAAGGAAGGGAACTGATCTCTTCCTTCATGCAAATGAATAACCCCCTCTGGTCTATTCACCTGAAAATCCTAACACCCCTCAGGGACAGAAGCAGCACCAGGTGGAGCACTGGCAACAGGAGGCAGGTGATGGTGGGACAGGGCTGTTAACCAAATTAGCTGATGACATTAATGTCCCCAAGAAATCATGGATGCTGGCAGGAAGGACTGTGATGTTCTCTGATGAGTCGGCTTTCCATCAGCAGGTGAATTTAACAAGTACATTCATTCATTATTGGATAATAACATTTGGGTAGTTATGTCTGCGAGCTACTGATGATCCAAACTACTTTTTATGTCCATATAACTGCAGAGTAATGGAACTCTTACCTCCACTAAACAGAAACAAGTGGAAATGTTTCTTAGGCACATACAGGGATTTACGCGTTTCCTTATCAATATAATAGAGGTTAAACCTAATAGAGGAATCGGTGTATTTTTAAAAGCGAGTTTGTTTGGTTTTCCATTGTTTTACATAAGTTTCAGCAGCAGTTTAATCCACTTGGAGTTGGGAGCTTTATTTCTAAAACCCCATAATTATCAGTTTACTTAAAAACTAGTTTCACAAAATGGTATAAGAACAGTTACCAACAGATGCCAAATTAGTACCCCAGGTACTAATTTTAAATGGTACAGTGAAGAAGAAATTCTCTGAGAACTTCATAGCTATTTTCACTTTGGTGAAAGGGGTGCATTGCCTGAAATGTTCTTTTGCTGCTGACCTCTGAAACATTTTCTCCTCTGAAGCACTCAGAGACATCAGAAGTCTTTCCCAGCTATTCTCCTTTTCTGGGGCACATGCTCCTCATAAATATTTAAAAAATCATGGTTTCAGGGGAAAACTCAAACAGGAGTGGGTAGCACGAGACTTGTGCATGAACAAGGCTGCGCTGTCAGAGCACACGCATCGGAAGAGCTGGCCGATGCGTGTCCCTTGAAGAAGACTGTCAGACTGTCCCACAGCCCTGGCTGGCCAAGGTTCCCTCTTCACCTTCTCACTATTCAGAGCCATGTTGAACCCGCAAAGTGAAGAAACTTTGCGGGAGCCCAGGGCTGCAAACCGAAATTCTGATATTAGCTTTGGTCTCGCTTGTGTTTCTCAAGAATAACCTTGTAGAACTCCTTTCGATCGGAAAGACACCCCCCCCCGCCCCCGCCCTTGCTCGTAGGGGCTGGGAAAGTAAATCCTGGCAGGTTTATTACTGGAGGTGCATTACCAATTGATAATTCTTACCATTTAGAAAGGAATCGGGATTTAATTCAATAGAAAATTAATAAAATAGGCCATTCTTCCTTACAGGGCCCAAAGTTGTGCCTATAAAGAAGAAAGCACTATAGCTGTCACAGAACATTTCAGAATGAAACTGGCTTATCGATTTAAGTTCCTATGCATTAAATCCAGTCCTTATGCACTAGTCTGGTTCTTGTTCATGATTCACCATGACTAACTTTTTTCAGAAAAATGTCGACTGAAATATATTTTGGGGGGGCGCATTAAGTAGAAGTACCTACATCAGTTCACTGCTTACCAGCATGCTTTAAGACCTTTATATTTGGGGTATTTTTGAAGATCATCGATAAAGTTCCTTTATAAAAGGTTCAAATTTAAATTTTCCTATCTATCAGATTTGAAACATCATGCGAAATCCTCACAATGTTGACGCTTTATTTAGGTTGTGCTAAAGTGCATAAATACTGTTGTCTTGAGACAAATATTTTGCTTGCTCTACTTCCCCTGTTTGAGTGTATGTGTTTGTGTGTATTCATTTCTCCTGGACAAAAAACTGTGCTTTCATTTCAAAGGGAAAAAAAATTCATTGGTAGTTATAGAGATTGTTAAGTTGTTCAAATTCAGTGTAATTTTTAACTAAGTGTGTCCTGTACCCAAATTATTTTTAAATTTTATTTGATTGTAGTAAGGACACTGAACATGAGATTTACCCTCCTAATAGATTTTTAGGTTTGTGATACGGCATTGTCACCAACAGGCACAACTTATGATCTTCATTGTGTCCCAGTTCCCACATGAGGGTTTACGAAAAACCCCAAATGCCCGAATTGTTATAATAACTAAGCTAGAGCCAACTAAAATGGAAATGAAAAGACAGAAAGATCAAACTCATACTCACCATTTTTGCTTCTGGTTAAAAGGCTTTAGACATACAAAGGAATTTGTAAATTAAAACCCCAAACAATGTAGTCTTATGAAACCATCATTTCTTTGAAACAACTGGCTAGTTGTTTGGAGAAACCTACTTGGTCATTTAGTAGAAGAAGAAGGTAACTAATTTTAAACTTTTCCTGAAACTGTGAATAGAGAATAGCTATAACCAAGGTAAAGTAGAAGGTTGAAGCAATTACCCAGAGAATTCCTTTTTCAAAATCTACGTGAAAGAGGGAGGTTTATTTGCTAACAAACTGTAATACATTTATGACATAATTTAGTAGTTAGTAATTCCACTTACCCCTTCACATTGGCACTTTGTGGATAGGCCTTCACATGGTGAGTACATTTGATTTTTATAGAGTGAATTGCTGCTACATACTTACTTTGAGGCCAAACTCACCCACTTTTATCTTGTGAGTTCTACACTGCAGAAGAATATTAACTAAAATGATGAAGTAAGTTGTTCCCGTGACTAATAAAAGTATTTCCGTAATTGGGAACTGAGACCTGAGTTTATACGACATAATCAGATGTGGTCCAAGTACTTTATGACCGTAAGGTTCTCATCTGCTAATTTTACATCAAGAAAATTGGCAAAGCCACATTAACAGCACTTACTATTACAGGTATATAAATTGCTTAGTGTACTATAAATATTATAAATTGTACTGAAGATAATCAAATGGTATTTCTCCACAATTGAGATTTTCATTTTTATAGTAAAATTTGATTTTTAAAACACATTAAAAATTGTGTTTACTACGTTTATAACTGTATTCTCCACAGAAACTGCTTTGATGCTACATATCATTTGACGCCCTGACACACACTTAAATGGATCAGAGTTACTATTTCTAGGGATTCCAACTTTTAAAAGACACTTGCACAAAACAAAAATGGCAGGGGTCTCTTGGCAAGGTCTTTCAAACAGAAAACTTTACATATAAGGAGAATTCGTAATAAAGTTACACTATCATAATTGAATAAATAACTAAAGCAGATGAATAAGAAATGTGCTATTGCATAATTATATCACTGGAAGATTTAGTCTTCAAATTAATATTTCAGAAGAAATATGAAATTGAAAATTTGGCCTTTGCATCAGTGGATTAATGGTGATTAAGACTTCTTAAATAATCTAATTCTTGACCTAAAAGGAAATTCTCATTACTTTTCACCATTCTAATTAAGACCAGAAGCAGATATAAAAATGAGATGACTTTTACAACCAACTTTTCTCCATCACATCTTGAAGAATGACCTTAGTAACAGGAAGTGGCCATGAACCCAAGAGAACTCACCAGCCGGTCCAAGCTCGTGCCTGCTGCAGTTGTTGGTCTTTCCTCAGGATTGTAAGGCCTGAACCGTGTATTAAAATTTTCAGGAGCTGAGCGGGCAGATCTGAGGGCTGGGGCAGGTTTGGGCTGGCCACATCCCTGAAAGACCTGGAAGACATGGTAAGAAGTCAAGACAGTTGCACAATGAGTTTCTTCCTCAGGTCGAGGTGCCGAGGCACGTGATGCAATGGTTTTCATGCTTCTCTTGAAAGTTTTACTTCAGTGAACTCTGATTTTAACATGTAAACAAATCTAACCACTAATGTGACAGAAAGAATTCCTGAGACACATACGGAGTGACAGACAATATGCCCACACTTATTTTCAACATACACAATCGATCCTTGTTATTCACGGATTCCGTATTTGTGAATTTGCTCACTCACTAAAATTCATTTGTAAGCCCCAGATAGATTCTTGTGCATTAGTGCAGACACGAGCGGAGTGACCGAATTTAGAGTTGCCCTACATGCAAAGTCCTCAGCTGAGTCTGAACATGGTGATGCTCTGCCTCTGACTTGGTTACCATCCGCTGCTGCTTCTTCATCACAGAGCTTGTGTTCAAAGTCACCCTTATTTTCCTTAATAATGGCCTCATGGCACAACCATAGTGATTCGGATATGGCAATTCAGATATGCTGAAGAGAAGCCAAAAAGTACTTCCTTTAAGTGAAAAGGCCTGATTATGTAAGAAAAAGCATAGTATCCATCGGATTAGGTACCTATCTGAGGTTTTGGCATCCATTGGGGGTGTTGGAACATATGCCCCATGGATAAGGGAGGACCACTGTACTGAAAATGCTTATTTCAAAAGCAATTGTAATAGTTACTTCATACAGTGCTTTCAGGATTAGAGAAACTGTGTCCCAGACCTTTTTATATATTTGAATTTGGTATTCAATAAACATCCTAGAAGCAGCAAGAGATAAGTGGACAGTCACCTACAAAGGAGTTCCCATCAGACTGTCAGCTGATTTCTCAAAAGAGACCTTACAGGCAAGAAGGGGCTGGAAAGAAGTATTCCAAGTCATGAAATCCAAAGACCTACATCCAAGATTGCTCTATGCAGCAAAGCTTTCATTTAGAATAGAAGGACAGATAAAGTGCTTCTCAGATAAGGTCATGTTCAAGGAGTTCGTCACCACCAAGCCCTTATTATATGAAATGTTAAAGGGACTTATCTAAGAAAAAGAAGATTAAAAATATGAACAGTGAAAGGACAGCAAACTCACAGTTATTAACCATACCTAAAACAAAAGCAAACTAAGAGGACAGTTAGATCAGCAACAGAACCATAGAAATGGAGATCACATGGAGGGTTAGCAACAGGGGAGAGGGAGGAAGAGAAGTAGGGAGAAGGTACAGAGAATAAGTAGCATAGATGGTAGGTAGAAAATAGACAGGGGGGAGGGCAAGAATAGTATGGGAAATGTAGAAGCTAAAGAACTTGTGACGCATGGACATAAATGAAAGGGGGAATGGTGGGGGAGGGTGTACAGGGTGGAGCGGAATGAAGGGGGGGGAATAGGACAACAGTAATGGCATAATCAATAAAATATATTAAAAAAACATCCATTTGGAATTCTTGTTATGGTGACAAATGTCTTTCATGAATAGCCTATAAGGCCAAATAACTTGGGTGACACCCCCATGAATAGTGAAAAGGGCTTCTGGAAGAATTCCTTGAAAACACTCTCTTGAGCAATGATGTGGAGACAGGATGAGCAAGTGTCGGTGAAATCCATAGGATGATTTTGCGGCTGACAGCTGTTCATATCACAATTAGGCTTGCTGTGGGAAATCAAACATTTAATTAGAATGATCTTAGGCATGACTCTGTCATCGTTTTCCGGTGATCTCACTCATGGTGCTGTGGGGAGACGTGCTTGGCTGTTTTTAGAAGCTTCATACTCTCTGCTGGCTATTGAGAGAGAATGCCTTTACCAGAATTACAGGAAATATAGTAACATTTTCAGGAAATGTTGATGATGTTTAATTTTATATTTCCCCCATCTCTATATAGGAGATGATTCTATTCCTAGATTTCTTTTTTCAGTACACTCTTCGGGACTATTTATGTTGGCTAATTCCTAAGTTACATGTGTCTGTTTAGAATGCATCTCTTCTGGTTTTGTAATTTGACTCCGTGTTGTTTAACTTTAAAATAAGCATTTTATCACCAGGAACATTATGGGATCCCACCAAAGTGCACGGAGAACTCTCTCCAGTGCCATTCCCAATGACAAATGCCATCTTCTGTCACAATTCATTTAGTTTCACCACCACAGGTAATTTCTCTTGTGTTGTATTCAAAGTTCTCCTTCAACTTGGCATTTTGCAGAGCAGGAACACTTTGTCTTGGCATTCTTGGAGGCTGAGCTTAACACGCTATTGATTCTTTTTCTCTCACACCATTTCTGAGGTTGACGGTGTAAACCAGTGTGGTAAAGACATGGGCCCTGTTCTCACTTGTGCCCCCATCACTTTCCAGTGCCAAGGTCACTGCTGACGGCGGACATTAACATTTCCAAAACTCTAGTGTCCTGTGGCGTGAGCTAGTGTGAATTGCTTCAAATAGGATGGCTGACTTTAAAAAGTAGAAAGCCTCAGGCAAAACAATAGGATGGCCTGGCCAGGATTTCTTGAAGCTAGGAACTGAAAGAGTTAACAGACCTTGTGAATTCGCCCTTTGGGAAAATTCTGCTTCACTGGTTTAAGTGAAATCAAAGGAACAAGAAATGCCCTGAAAGAATATTAGTGTTCTAGGGGATATTTCATCAAAATAGAAAACCTTACTGCTTGTTTGATTTTTCCTTTTTTGGGGGGGGGATTAATTTTAACAACAAAATACAGATGATTTCATATAACCTAGTAGCTTTTTGCCATTTATATCAGGTTTGCATTTTGAAGATGACTTCAGTGTAGAAGTCACTGAGTCTAGGATCCAAACTGAAGAAAACACTGACTCATTATCACACAAACAACAATTAAATCCACAGTTGGGTGGGGACTTCCACAAAAATTGGTCACCCCACATCCAATAGGAATTCTGAAGGTCCTTCAACACAGATTCTGTTATACCCTTAGAAAAAGGAAATTGTCAGAAGAGAAGACTCTTTAGTGTGGAAATGCCAAGGTGAGGGGTCATGAACTGTTTTTCAGAATTTTATAAAACCTAAAGGGAACAGTGGCGAAGGGACCACGGCATCGGCTTGACTCGTGTTTGCCTGTGCCTAAAAGCTCCTGTGTGATTCCCATGTAGAGAATGCAGCTTAAATAACACATATGTGTCATGTAACTCAGATGACTTAGGAAGTGAAAATCAATAATCTCACGTCTAATGCATGCAATCTGTTAGCTAGACTAAATATTAAAACACAGGGTTCACACAGCGAGAGACCTAAGGGCTTCTAGTGCAGAATGCATGCACTGTCTCCCACACTTGGCTGACCTTGCCACTGCAGCAGTACAGTTCAAGTTCCCTGGTTCTTGAGACCCCAGGGCTGCATTATTATAAAATACCAACGAGCCTTTTCCCTGGATGTCTGGGTACCTCCATGTTTCTACTTGGAGTAAGAGAATAAATGGAAGGGGAATAATATGGTGAAAGGGGCCTTAGGTTAAATGAGTGTCTGTAGATCAAGGTTCTCTGCAAAGAGTTCAGGCTGGAGAGGCAGAACTGCATCATCAGCACAAAGATGGCACCTAAGGACCTGAAACTGGTTGCATTTAACAAGGGCAAGGCTGCAGAGCGGTGGCAGACGGGCTGAGGACAGTCTGGAGCCATGCCTACATTCAGAGGGCCCTCCCTGAGCCTCCGCTGACTGCTTTGCCGGATGGGAATCAGAACATTATTTACCACCCAGATAGTCTCTGACCATAAAATGCCACACCCAAGGCAGAAAAACCAAAGTCAGTGTCTTGGAAACTAGGTGCTTGATAATGAGGAGTTAATTATGTCATTCTATGATCTGTTCTTTCTAGAAGTCTTGGTTTCTGAATAAGAAGATTTGAAAGAGGTAGAAACGTATCTGGGTGAATGCTTCTTAGCCATTTTCCACAAAAATATTATTTCCAGGGGCGAACAGCTGTTACATAGACAATGGAGCCATGCATCCAAGTTAAATGAGGTCTCTCTGCCGGGCTTCCGTATGCCAACATGTGTACCGAATTGTCAAAAGGAAAGTCATCCGTAGGGTCTTCCAAAATCATGTGGCCACGGTTTCCCCAGGAGGTGCCCACAAGACCGCTGTTCTGGGAAGCACACCTTGGGTCACCTTGGGGGGCTCCTCCAACTGGCTAAGAGAAGAAGTGATTCTGATATCGTTGCATTTACTGACAGAAGTTTTGGAGCAATTCCCCCCACCACTACCTTTAGTTTGAGAGAAGAAATACTATTTTAAGGCATTCAAGGTTGCATCTTTACAACAGAAGTTTCTAGAGAGTATGGCTTTAGGCTAAGCCACCTCATTATGGAACAATGTATTAGCTCTGCTTCTTGAAGAAATGGAATTAGTATTACCTCCTGCCTGCCTCTTTCCAAGAGATGTTGAAAGGGATGATTAGATAATTTGGAAAAGCATTTGGAAGTCCCACTGTAGAGAGTTGCTACAGATGTATGAAGGAATTATCCTTCCCACCTAGAAAAACCTGTGCATTTCTGGAGGTATCTGGTGCACGAATCCTCTCGTTTAAGAGGATTACTGAGATCGTGTCTCAGAAGTCCGTGGGCATCCTGAGATTAAAGGAGCTGGCATTAAAGACAGAAAGTGCTGAAAGAAGAAATGTTTAGAAGGGACAAGGGAGAGAGGGAGGTACGCTGATCACAGGGTCCAATGCCGTGGCTTAGGTTTCTAAAGACAAGTATTTTTTCCTTTAAGAATGTGGCAGCATCTTAATCTATTTCCCTTAAAATAAACTAACACAGTGTATACTTTTTCAGAAGCCTCCTTAACTTTATACCTATAACTCTGTCTTTTTTACCTTCGGCAGCTTGATTATATTTTCACAAAAGTCATTATCAGCAACCTGAGGAGTATGGCTGCAAAGCCATCCTGTCTCAGCTCCTCTGGTTTTAAAAATATCCCATCCCCTCAGGTTCTACTCAG